TGTATCTACAATAAGCAGAGTTAACACAGCTGTTAGAACCTCAAATTTCAAATCTCCTGGTAACCATCCAGAAACAAGGTAACCCTTATAATTAAGAACTCACTATGAAAACAAAATTTGACTATTTGACTAAATCCCCTAACCTGTCATCTTCCTCTTCTATCTAAACTGCAAATCAGTTGGTTCTGAGAGGAGGGACAAGAAAATAGAAAGAGCATAAAAATGCAGATGGTTCATGAAAACAAAATTATTTACCCCATAACTAAAGTCTCTATTTCTAATCACAATTACTCTACATCATCCAAAAAATCTTAGTCTTAGTTAACACTGAGAGCCAAAATATAATCAGAATAAAATATAATCTACTGCAGTTTAAACAAGTCATGCATCATCTGTACATGATAAACCCATCACATATATTTTATATCAGGTGACACAAGTGTGTGTGTGTGTGTGTGTGTGTGTGTGTGTATATATATATATATATATATCACTCACCTTCCAAATATATAGCCCTACAAGAAAAAAATGCTTAGCTAAATCTCAAAATAATAATTATAGCCAGGCATCAGTGGCTCACACCTATGATCTAATTACTCAGGAGGCTGTTATCTGAGGATTGCAGTTCAAAGCCAAGTAGGGCAGGAAAACCCATGAGATTCTTTAAAAAAAAAATAGTAAATAAGCTTTTAATTGGGAAAATACCGTACAGAGGGGTTACAATTACATGAGCAAGGTAATGAGTACATTTCTTATCAAGCATTATTGCCATCTCAAGTCCATGAGATTCTTATCTCCAATCATCTACCAAAAAGCCAGAATGAAAATGTGACTCAAGCAGCAGAGTACTAAAAAAAAATCTCAGAAACAGCACCAAGGCCCTGAGTTCAAGCCCCAGGACTGGCAAATAACCCACTGGGCACCGGTGGTTCACACCTGTATTCCTAGCTAATCAGGAGGCTGACGTGTGAGGTTTGCAGATCAAAGTCAGTCCAGGTAGGAAAACCCCTGAGACTCATATCTCCAATTAACCACCAGAAAACCAGAAGTGGTACTGTGACTCAAAATGGTAAAGGGTTAGTCTTGGGCAGAAAAAGCTGACAGAGCCAGCACCCAGACCAGGAGTTCAAGACCCATGACTAACAAAAAAAAAAAAAAGGCCAGAAGCCAGTGGCTCACACCTATAATCCTAGCTACTCAGGAAGCTGAGATCAGAGGACTGGAGTTCAAAGCCAGGCCAGACAGGAAAGTTCACGAAATTCTTTTCTCCAAGAAACTACTCAGAAAAGGCCAGAAGTTGCACTGTGGCTCAAGTGGTAGAGCTCTAGCCTTGAGTACAGAGAGGCTCAGAGACAGAGCCCATGCCCCGAGTTCAAGGCCCAGGACCTGCCGAAACAAAAACAAAACAACAAAACTCTTATTTTGTTCTTTTTCCTTCTTTTGTTCCTATTGCCTTCCCTTTTTGGGAGCACCAAAAGCAATAGGGGAAAACAGCTGAATAAAACAATGGCCATAAGTACCAGGAAACAGTGATTACAAAAAGTACTAAGGCCAAAATACTAAAAAACAATGTCTCCTCTAAACAGGTACTATTCCACACAACAGGGAAGAAGACAAAATAAGGACCCTTACCTTCATGAAAATAAATTTAAACTATAGCATAAATAATAATAAAAATACTAAGAAGAAAATTAAACAGGGCAATGACAATGCAATTAGGTGGAGTCCTTAGAAGGTTTTTCTATCTTGATAACATTTGAGGTACAATCTGAAAGTCAAGAAGGAACTGGTCAAGTTCTGAGGAAAGGGTTAGGGAAAGAGGGCAAGAAAAATATGAAGCAGCATTTCTGTGGGCATGTGCTGGTACTAACTTGATGGCATGGCTCAAATGGTACACCATTTTATTGTTTTTGGTTTTAGTTTTTGCCAATCCTAGGGCTTGAACTCAGGGCCTGAACACTGTCCTCAAGCTTCTTTTGCTCAAGGCTAGCACTCTACCACTTTAGCTATGGTGCCCCTTCTGGCTTTTTGTTTATGTGGTACTGAGGAATAGAACCAAGGGCTTCATGCGTGCTAGCAAGCACTCTACCACTAAGCCACATTCCCAGCCCTGGTAGACCATTTTAGTTGCCTAGCATATGCCAGTCCCCTGGGTTCAATCTCAGGTACTGAAGGGTTAGGGTGGAGATAGTCACTGTGACTGCAGCAACACAAGAAGCAGTTCTTGTTTTCTTCCACAACCTGGGTAGTCACTTGGACTCTGTAGTCAAGTCCAGACATCTTTTTGCCTGGATCCTCAAGAAAAGGACATTCCTCTTTCTCCTGTGAGCTCAGTTGTATGAATATTTTAGTTGTATTGTTCTAAAACAAAGGCATCTTTTTCTTGTCCAGATGCTTGTTTTATATTCTTTGCATTTCAGGCTAGAGTCATCCATCTCATATGGAAATGGAGACTTCCTATGCATCCATAATCAGTTAGCTGTCATGAGAGTTTAATTCTGCTTTCTATTAAGCACTCTTACATTGTTAATGGTTTCACTAGTAATGAAATTAAAGCTAAGTAAATGAACATATGTGTATTTGGCCCATACAGCAAACTGTCACTTCACCCCAAGAAAAGAGAGAAAGGGGGGAGGACAGGGTGTGGGAGAGAGGAGGAGAGAGAATCTGTCTGTCCTGGGGTTTGAACTCAAAGCTTGGGCTCTGCCCGGGAACTTTTTTGGCTCAAGGCTAGTGCTCTACCACTTGAATTATACAACTCCACTTCTGGCTTTTTGGTGGTTAATTGGAGATAAGAATCCCATGGGGTTTGCTACATGGGCTGGCTTTCGAACTGTTATCCTTAAATCTCAACCTCCTGCATAGCTAGGATTACAGGTGTGAGCAACCAGTGCCTGGCAGGAACTAATTTCTTTTCTTCATTTGATTTCTCATCCCTTTTTTTGTTATTTTTTTAAATGGTGGTGAGGATCAAACCCTGGGCCCCAGGAATGCTAGACTAGCCTTTTACCATTGAGCTACATACTCAGGCGATGGTGGCTCACATCTGTACTCCTAGCTACTGAGGTGGCAGACATCTAAGGACAGTGCTGGCTCAAAGCCAGCCTGGGTGGAAAAGTCCTTGAGATGCTATGTGTGTGTGGCTCAGTGGTAGAGTACCAAACTTGAGTAAAAAATGGTTGATCTTGCTTGGGGCTCTGAGTTCACGAGCCCCCATTAAAATAATAATAATAATAAAACTTTTCTGTCATTGCTTAACTCAAATAAGCTTAAATTTCTCCAAAGGCTGTCATATTCCATCTCTCTGGAATTTTCCCTTAAGAGGTCAAGCTCACATTTCTGTTAGACACTTTTCTACAAAATGTAAAGTTTCTAAAGATACATTTCAAACTGACCCAAAGCTTTTCTAAGAACCTGATGATCCCAGATTTACAGAAAGAAATGATAATGACTATAGAAACCCTTTTTTTTTTTTTTTTTTGCTGGTCATGGGGCCTGAACTCTGGGCCTGAGCGCTGTCCCTCAGCTCTTCAGCTAAAGGTTAGCACTCTACCACTTGAGTCATAGCACCACTTCCAGCTTTTTCTATTTATATGGTGCTGAGGAATGGAACCCAGGGCCTCATGCACCCAAGGCAAGCACTCACCACTGAGCCACCTTCCCAGAAAACCTTTGTCAATTTAGATCCCCAGAAATAGAAAAGTACATAAACAATGACTTGTCAGTAACTGTAATTTGCATCTTCCATTCAGACTCTATGGATTTCATAAACTATAACTAAAAGTCATTATAAGAAAATAATATAATGTAACGTCAACATACCATAAATAACTGACAACTGCATCTTTGCTTAGAAAGAAGGTATGCACTGAAACCAGACACACAAGGCAAAAAGACCATAAACAAAGGCTCCTATCCTTCATGTCACCTGAGTGGGTCACATTGCATGTGTTTTCTGAGTTATGATAGCATTTTGTTTCAAGAGCAGTCTGCAGTTTAATCTGGCTAATAAACAGTACAGAACTACATGTAACCTAATATTCGCCAGGTTTCCAACTCACATCTTCAATCCAGAATGTCAAATACTGACAAAATAACATAAACCATAGCAATAAAATATTTTCAAGACAATTGATGCTCTCCTTATATCTACCAATATTTAATAATAAAACCTCAGAAAAGCACAAATGAGGAAAATTCACAGCTCAATATAATGGAATAAAATATGCAACCCAAGAAAGAACTGGTGTTAAATTAGAAATTAAAAGAATAAGACCAATTACTTATAATTTGAAATTAAAGAATAAGACCAATTACTTCACACTAAGATTTAAATTGCAAAAGATAAATTTTTCTCCTGTAAAGTCCTTTAACTTTTTAAAAAGCTAAAAATGAAAATTTATAATTCTATTCCTTCTTTTAATAAAATAAGAACAAGGAAAAGATGACTTTTTTTAAATCAAATCATACTATTCATGCAGGACTTGTTTCAAATGATCAAATATTTGTTGCAAACAGTGAAAACATCCAAAGTTGCCCTTGGAACTGTATTTACATTATATGTACTACTCCCAACTTGCTTCTAGCGAAAAAGCACAAATTAAATCCCAATCAAAATGTGGCTGGATAGATGACAGTCCATCAACAAGTAAAGAGAAACATATGCTTATTTCAAGCTCCATTAGAAATGAAGCTCAGACATACTTGCATATGAAGAAAAAATACATTAAGTTTTTTTTAAGAAAAAATAGAACACTTGGAAGCTATAATCGAGAAAGGGCAATGTTCATGTTTTATTTTGAAGTGTAGTTACTTTGCACATTTTGAAGTTTCAATAATGGATAATTCAGTGTGCACTCACTATATGAACAAACAAAGAAAAAAAGCAAATCAAGTCAGATTAGCCACTTCACTATACTAGTAGGTCCAGGCCTGTAACATGGGAAATTGAGCAGACTACCAAGCTGCAGAAGCAACATTTTCATTTCAAGCAAGCTCACTGGCACCTGGAAAAGTTTCACCAAGTGCTACTCTGTGAAACTCTACCAAATACCTAGAACTGTTTTTTTTTTCTTAAGATAAAACAGAAGGTACTAATAAAGAACTCCTCCAACATATACAATATAACCAAAATTTATTTAAATCTCCAAAGGACACTTCTTCATAGTCACTTGAGGTAAAAAAGAAAATAGTTATCCGAAATGGGAAAATTACTTAGTTCATGTTCTCACTACTTTTCTGGTTGTTTTGGTTTTTGAAGCAGGGTCTTACTATATAGCCTGGTCTCAAACTTCCAATACTCTTGCTTCAACTTCCAAACACTAGGATGACAAGTGTAAGTTACAACACCTGGCTTTTCTTTCAAATCTTCTTTTCACACAGATCATCAAGCTAACCCCTGAAAATACTTGAATTTATTTATCTCACTTTTAATACACAGTAAAATTCACTCTTTGGAGGTAGGCATAGTGAGTCCTAGCTATTTGGAGGCTAATGCAGGAGGACTGCTTAAGCCTAGAAGTTTGAGAACAACCTTGGGAACATAGTAAGACCCCACTGCAAAAAGAAACAACGAAATTTAAGAATTAACTTTTAGAATACTAAAGACAGATGCATAATAACCTCCATACAATCAAAATACAGAATATATTATTTCCAGAACAGTACATATAATTAAACCATAAAACAGTACATATAATTAAAACATAAAATAAACATGTAAACACTGGCTCAAACTTTGCTTTAAGAGTCATCATCAAACCTCTGGAAAGACTTTAGAACTAAAATTGAAAAGGTAGATCCATAACCATCCCTGATAAGACAAAGTGCATCACTGGACAGAAACACATTGCTTAGAACTCTGGATGTCAAGATCACTAGCATGTGGCCAATCCAGGACTTATATGGACCTCCCAAGATTTTTAACTCTCCACTCTGAGGGACATTTCCACCTCCAACCTAGGAGTATGACCTGCAAACAAAGCAATCCTTTCAGCTTCATTTAACACCTACGCTGCAGTACCCACTCAAGTATTCAAACAATATATTGAGAATATTTAAAGCGCAAAATATCATGATGCATCATAGATTAAGTACACGACTGTAGGAGAAACTGACAAAATTTTTAAAGCTAAAAAAAAGTAGCCTATCTTGGAAGGAATGAATAAAAAAAAACTGTAGTGCTGAGTTTGTAGCTCCGTGGTAGAGAGAATGCTTGCCTGTGACATGAGCAAAACCCTACCTAAGTCTATTCCCCTACACAGCAAGAAAACATACAAGTAATAATAGTACATAGATTAAAAACAAAATTCTGGGGGGTAAACTGGGAAGACAGTGAAGAAGAAAACGCCAGAAATCTTCCTCACCTAGACAACAATTGCACTGGAAGAATCTGTCTGATGTAATTACTTCAGTAACTCTTGAGTATTGAAGAACAGAAACTTCCATGGAAGGTGTCAATAATAAACTGAGCTAATTTTGCTCAATTTCAGTTCTTAGCTCAGCAGCAGCTACCATTTCCTAACCTCTAACTAGGGCAAACGGCCAAGTATGTGCTATTGAAGCAACTTATAGGAGCCAGAATGAGTAGTAACAACCCTGTCTCAAAATATTGGGGATATGTGTTCTGATTGCCAATTGCTGCTTCTAATGAGTGAGAAGTAACTGAGAAGAACAAGAAGAGCAACCATTCTTATACTTCTCTCCTTTGGTTACCCATTCCTCTTTTTCATCTTTATCTTCTAAGACCTAAGATTTAAAAACTAGGGCAATTGAAGCCGGGCGCTGGTGGCTCACGCCTGTAATCCTAGCTACTCAGGAGGCTGAGATCTGAGGATCACGGTTCAAAGCCAGCCCGGGCAAGAGAGACCGTGAGACTCCTATCTCCAATAAACCACCAGAAAACCGGAAGTGGAGCTGTAGCTCAAGTGGTAGAGCGCTCGCCTTGAGCTGAAGAGCTGAGGGATAGCGCCCAAGCCCAGAGTTCAAGCCCCACGACCGACCAAAAAAAAAAAAAAACTAGGGCAATTGAAAGCAATTATAAAGGATAGTTGAGTGGGAGAATTACAATGTTACTGTGGTACCTGCTTATCCTCAGTACTATATGGCTTAACTATTTGGCTCCCAAGGGCTTGTGTGTTAGAAACCTAGTGTTGTAAGGCTATGAAGTGGATGGAGTTATCCTTACCTGTATTTCCAGCACTTGAGAGGCTGAGGAAGAAGGATGTTCAGTTCAAGGCCAGCTTGGGCTGCATGTAAGACTATGTTTCAAAAGCAAGAGGTGGCCAGCATTGTGGCTCATACTTGTAATCCTAGCTACTTCACAGATGGAGATGAGGAGGACTTATGGTTCAGGCAAAAAAAAATTCCAAGAAGCCGGGCGCCGGTGGCTCACGCCTGTAATCCTAGCTACTCAGGAGGCTGAGATCTGAGGATCACGGTTCAAAGCCAGCCTGAGCAGAAAATTCTGCAAGTCTCTTATCTCCACTTAACAATTTTTTTTTTGGTCGGTTGTAGAGCTTGAACTCTGGGCCTAGGCGCTGTCCCTGCACTCTTCAGCTCAAGGCGAGCACTCTACCACTTGAGCCACAGCGCCACTTCCTCCACTTAACAATTTAAAAGGTCAAAGTGGAAGTGTGGCTCAAGTGGTAGAGAGCTGGCCTTGAGCAAAAAAGCTCAGAGACAGCACCTAGGCCCTGAGTTCAAGCCCCAGGACCAGTATAAAATAAAATATAAAACAGCATAAACAACATGAAAAAGGACTGGGGAATGTGGCTCAAATAACAGAATGACTGCCTCACAGGCACAAAGCCTAGAGTTCAAAACACAATACCGCCAAATAATAACAACAAGAGAGAGTAGAACTTCCCCTTTAAGGTATGAGGCTGAGAAGGTGGCTCAGTGGTAGAGTGGCTCACATGCATGAAGCCCTGGGTTCGATTCCTCAGTACCACATACACAGAAAAAGCCAGAAGTGGCCCTGTGGCTCAAGTGATAGAGTGCTAGCCTTGAGCAAAAGAAGCTCAGGGACAGTACACAGGCCCTGAGTTCAAGACTCAGGACTGGAGGAAAAAAAAAGGTATGAGTACATAGACTGGGAATGTGGCTTACTGGTAGAGTGCTTGCCTACCATGCACAAAGCCCTGATTTTAGTTTCCTTAGTACCACATAAATAGAAAAAAAACAGAAGTGGCACTGTGGCTCAGGTGGTAGAGTGCTAGTCTTGAGCAAAACAAGCTCAGGGACAGTGCCCAGGCCCAGAGTTCAAGCCCCAGGACTAGTATGATAAAGATATGAGTGCATGTTTTAAAGAATTATCCTTAGAGGGGCTGGGAAGGTGGCTCAGTGGTAGAGCGCTTGTCTTGCATGCCTGAAGCCCTGGGTTCGATTCCTCAGCACCACATAAACAAAAAGAAAAAAAGAAGTGGCGCTGTGGCTCAAGTGGTAGAGCGTTAGCCTTGAGCTGAAGAACTAAGGGACAGCGCCCAGGCCCAGAGTTCAGGCCCCATGACGGGACCCAAAAAAAAAAGAATTATCCTTAGCGCACTGGGCTGCTACCCTCACAAGGACATATATTCATTCCTATCTCTAGGTATCTCTAGGTAGTATGAGTTTTGAAGAAAAAAATTGAGTAAACAATATTAACATGTCTCATCCTATGAACTTTGCAAACGTCTATACATATCATAAATGTATTTGTTGCAACTAATTCACTGTTTATTGAATAGTAACTTATGGCAAAAAGTAAGTCAAGTAACACAGAAACAAATACAAAGCAATGTAATCGGCTTTGAAGGAATTCAGCATCTAGCAAAAGAATTTTATTGAAGGTGATCCAGAAACTTAGTAATATTTAAATGCTGAATTTGTCCAGTACTTTTTTAACCTATAATCTAATCTATTTTAAATGCTGAACTTGCTCAGCATTGTTTTACCTTTAAAGTAATCTACTTCCTACCAGCAGATAGGATGTTTTTAATCCATATGAAATAGCTAGCTACTAAGGAGGTTGATATCTGAAGATCACCGTTCAAAACCAGCCTCAGCAGAAAAGTCCATGAGAGTATTCCTTCAATTAACCACCAAAAAGCCAGAAGTAGATCTGTGGCTCAAATGGTAGATCATTAGCACTGAGAAAAAAGGTCACAAATAGAGCCCAGGCCTATATTCAAGCTCCAGGACCAGTGTACGAACGCACGCACGCACGCACGCACGCGCTACTATTAAGAGAATCTACAAAAGAGAAAATCAAAGGGGAACCAGGAAAGAGTGAGCAATGGATGACAGTTCCCTGACTAAATAATAATATATGCACACATGAATTACCAAAAATAAAGAAAAAGGAAATATTTGCAAACCATCTATCTGATAAAGGAGAAATATCCAGAAAATATAAGGAACTCCTCTAACAAAATACTTAAAATTTAAAAACACAGGCATGATTGAAAGGTAGGTACCTCAGTGAAAAGCTCTGAGTCAGATCCCCAGCAGCACAAAATAAATTTTTTTAACTAAGAACTGGCCAGATGCACATCACCTGTAACCCCAGCACTCCAGAGGTTAAGAGAGAAATAAAATAAGCTGGGAGGCCATCCTGGGATACGTAGTAAAACCCTGCCTATTACCTGTGTTATATTTGAAGAAAATGTTGAACATGTGGATGCAGAAGGCAATGATAAAACACTACTAAAATATAAATGCCATACAATGAAGAAGAGCTCAGCATGACAAGAACTCTTCTGACAGAAAAGAAGGAGAAGAAAATATAGGTGGAGTAGAATGGCTACAAATGAAGGAAAATGACTTCTCCTATAGACCCAACATGATCTGTAGTTTTGTACATGAAAATGAAGATGAAGTTATAGTTCCAGTCCCTGAAAAATCTTTGGATTTGGAAGAGTAAGAGATTCAAATAAAAGACAGTTCAAATTTGATCTATGAACAGGAAAAACAAATGCACCTGGATCCTGGACTTCTTGCTGGCACTCCTTCTGAAATGGAAGGTTCTATTTTTATGGAAACTCAAGATGATGCCTTAGAAATCACTCCTAGATAAAAAAAATATTTCTCATAATAACTTTAAAAAAAAAAGTTTTAGCCGGGCGCTGGTGGCTCACGCCTGTAATCCTAGCTACTCAGGAGGCTGAGATCTGAGGATCGCGGTTCAAAGCCAGCCCGGGCAGGAGAGACCGTGAGACTCCTATCTCCAATAAACCACCAGAAAACCAGAAGTGGCGCTGTAGCTCAAGTGGTAGAGCGCTCGCCTTGAGCTGAAGAGCTGAGGGACAGTGCCCAGGCCCGGAGTTCAAGCCCCACGGCCGACCAAAAAAAAAAAAAAAAAAAGTTTTTACTTTAAAACCCTGCCTAAAAAATAAAAAGACGGGCTGGGAAGGTAACTCAGTGGTAGAGGCTAGCCTGAGCTGAAGAACTGAGACAGCACCCAGGCCCAGAGTTCTGGCCCCACAACTGACAAAAAAAAATAGCCAGGTACTGGTGGCTCACACCTGTAATCCTAGCTACTCAGGATGCTGAGATCTGAGGATTATGGTTCAAAGCCAGCCCAGGCAGGAAAGTCCTTGAGAGTCTTATCTCAAATGAACCACCAGAAAACCGCAAGTGGTGCTGTGGCTCAAGTGGTAGAGTGCTAGCCTTGAGCTGAAGAGCTGAAGGACAGTGCCCAGGCCCAGAGTTCAAGCCCTACAACTGACAAAAAAATATAAATAAATACATAAACAAACCAGCCAAGTGCCATTGGTTCACACCTATAATTCTAACTACTACTGAGGAGGCTGAGACCTATAGAAGCAAGACTCAAGCCAGCTGGAGCAGAAAACTCTACAAGATTCCACCTCTAATTAACTAGCAAAAATGCCAGATTAGGGTGTGGCTCAAGTAGTAGAGTTCCAAACAAGTGAGGCCCAGCAAGTAAAAAAAAAAAACAAAACAAAAAACAGCCCCAATCCATGAGGATGGTGATCATTTAAAAAATAAAAACAGGGGCTGGGAAGGTGGCTCAGTGGTAGAGCGCTTGCCTTGCATGCCTGAGGCCCTGGGTTCAGTTCCCCAGCACCACATAAGCAAAAGGAAAAAAGCTGGAAGTGGCGCTGTGGCTCAAGTGGTAGAGCGCTAGCCTGGAGCTGAAGAGCTGAGGGACAGCGCCCAGGCCGAGTTCAGGCCCACGACCAGACCAAAAATAAATAAATAAATAAAAATAAAAACAAAAAAATGGTTATGTGAAAAAACTAGAACCATTGGTAAATGCATTGCTGGTGGGAACACAAAATAGTGCACCTGTAACAGAAAATACAAGTGCATTAGCAACTCCCACCTATAATCTAGCTACCTAGGAGGCTAAGATCCAGACAATCATAACCAGCCCAAGTAGAAAAGCCCAGCCCAGGCAGAAAAGTCCAGGCTACTTCCAATTAACAAGCAAAATGCCACACTGGATGTATGGTTCAGATAGTAAAATAACAAAGCCAAGTGAGAATATGAATATGAGGCCCTGAATACAAGCCTCTGGGGGGAAAAGAGGAAGAAAGAGAGGGGAATGGGGAGAAGATGACAACAACAACACCCAACACCACCACCATGGTGGTTCCTGAAAATACTAAAATACTGTGTGATCCTGCAATTCCACTGGGTCTACTTACCAAAAGAAAAATGAAAGCAGGAACTCAACAGCTATCTGTATACCCATGTTATTTAAACACCCAAAAGATATAACTCAGGTGTCCATCAACAGACAAATAAATGTCACATTTTTCAATCTTAGAAAGAAAATTCTGATACATGCTATAACATGGATAAAATTTGAAAGATAATGTTGAGCCAGTCAGCAAAAGACATGTCATATGTTAAAAAAAAAATCAAATTCAAAGAGAAACAGAATAGCAGTTGCAAAGGCAAGGGCGAAAGGAAATGAGAAGTTATTGTTTAAAGAAAAAGAATTCAGTTTGGATAAATGAGAAAAAAAGTTCTGAAGATAGAGGATAATGATTGTATAATAATGTGAATTTATTTAATGCTATTGAAGTATATACTTTTAAAAGTTTGAAATGGAAAATTTGTTGTGTATTTTACCACAAAAAAGGAGGAATAAAGGGCTGGGAAGGTGGCTCTGTGGTATAGCGCTTGCTTTGCATGCATGAGGCCCAGGGTTCAACTCCTCAGCACCACATAAGCAGAAAAAGCCAGAAGTGGTGCTGTGGTTCAAGTGGTAGAGCGTTAAGTTTGAGGCTGAAGAGCTGAGGGACAGCGCCCAGGCCCAGAGTTCAGGCCCCATGACTGGCAAAAAAAAAAAAAAAAAAAAGGAGGGATAGCCAAGTGTGGAAGTGTGGAATACCAGTAATAACCAGCACTCAGGAAGTTGAGGGAAGAGGATCACAAAGTGAGTCCTGTACCAACTACATAGTAAGATTCTGCCTTAAAAAAAAAAAAAAGCAGATAGTGAGTGTATCATGTATCAAATGCAACTACAAACTTTAGAATTTCAGATAGATTAAAGATCTTTTCAGCAGTGAGGATCAAAGTGCAAGCTAATCAGGCAAACACAAACAATTGTAATGTTCCAGATCCTGAGATTAAAAACTAAAAGTAGACTAGGCACTGTGCTATACACCTGTAGTATCACACACCTGTGTCACTACTCCAGAGGGTGAGATCTGAGGATAATGGTTCCAAGCCAGACCAAACAAAAAGTTAAAGTTAGGCTCAAGTGGTAGTATACCAGCAAAGCCCCAGGACCAGCAAAAAAAAAAGATAAAAGCCTAAAGGCTGAACGACATGATTCAATTGGTAGAGCCTCTGCCTAGCAAGAAACAGGTCCTGAATTCAGTTATGACAACAAAAAAATAATAAGACTAGACCCCACTTCCAAAAAGACAGAACTGGAAGTCATCTACAAAAATATTTGCCAAACGTTATGAAAAATGCAAAAAGTATACAAGGTACAAAAAGGCATACAAGGTATAAAAGCTATACAAGAAGGACTGGCAATGTGGCTTAGTGGTAGAGTGCTTGCCTAGCATGCACAAAGCCCTGAGTTCAATTTCTCAGTACCACAGAAACAGAAAAAGCTAGAAATGGCACTGTAGAGTGCTAGGCTTGAGCAAAAGTTCAGGGACAGTACCCAGGCCCTGAGTTCAAGCTCCAGGACGGGCAAAAAAAAAAAAAAAATACTCAAAACACATTGAGATGAAGAGAAAACTCAGAGGCAGTAGCATGTAGATTTTAAAGAATGAAGGCTGTGCACGATGGCTCACACCTATAATCCTGGATACTTGGGAGATAGAAATCAGAAGGATTGAACAAAGCAAACCTAAGCAGAGTTAAACAAGATCCCCTCTCAACAAACCAGGCTGTGATGGCACATATCTGTGGTACCAGTTAATGAGAGGTATAGGAAAGAAGATTGTGATCTAAGGCTCACCAAGGCAAAAACTTAAGCCCTTACCTGAAAAATAAAAAGAGAAAAACAGCGGAGTGGTTACAGAGCTACCTAACAGGCATGTGGCCCTGAGACCAAACCCAAAGCACTACTAAAAAAAAAAAAAGGGG